ATTTTGCCTGACTTTTTAAATGTACTTCAGCAATTGTAATGACTGAAATTATGTAAACATAACTTCTTGTTTTTGGTATAAAAACCTTAAAACATCATTACTTTGTCAAGGTGGCCATTGTGAATCAGAATGGGAACGAGATGCAAGAAATATCTCAAGTTAAAACTGTGAAAATGAGTCCAGTAAGTGCTACAAAATATATATTATTGTAATAACTAGTTTGTAAAGAGCATTTTTGTAATATACCATGCATTGTGAGAAATATTTGATGTTTTTCAGGCGTTTCTTCTAAATGACTCAGAAACCAACACAGAATTCCTCAAGTATCAAAAAGAAAGCTCGGTGGCACAACCTTTCATTCGTGGAAGCTTTATGCACATGGTACAGATATTATGATTACTGTTGTTTTATTTGTTATTATCACTAAGTAAACCTGTGATACTTAAACAGGTAGAAGTTAAGAATTTTGCTCATGATAATTTTCTGTTCATGAAATTTATCAAATCTCAGAAGTATTTAAATGCTTGATTTTTCAGTCACAGCGGGGATCAAACGTGGGAATGGGATATCACCAGGGACAATCTGTGAGTGGGGTATGTAATATTTCTTTTCATATGAAACCTTCTGAAAGTGCCGGACCACCTTTTCTGTCAGAACTGATTTCATTCTACAAGAAACCAGCATGAAATGATTTGAGATTTGTGACATGGTGAATTATTTTGCTGGAAGCAGCCATCCAAATTTGGGTACACTGTGGTCATAAAGGGACAGACGTGGTCAGCAGTAATACTCAGGTAGGCTGTGGCATTTAAATGATGTTGACTTTGTCCTAAGGGGTCCAAAGTATACCAAGAAAATATCGCCCACGCCATTACATCACCCCCACCTGATTGAATCATTTCTATAAGGATGGATGAACCTGTGCTTAGATGTTGTTTATCCAACTGTTCCTATCATCTATACTTCACAACAGAAGCCAATACATCCAATGGTCTCTTGTCCATTTTTGGTGAGCCTATGGAAAACATAGCCTCAGTTTCCTGTTTTTAGTTGACAAGAGTGACAGTGTGGTCATCTGTTGCTGCTGTAGCCCATTTGCTTCACAGTTGAGGTGTTGTGCAATCAGAGGTCCTCTTCTGCCTATCCTGTTAGTAACAAGTGGTTACTAATGCTGGCTTCATGTCAGTCCAAAGCAGTCTGACCTTTCCCCTCTCACCCCTCTGCCAGCAACTCATGCTTGAATTGGCCTGGATCACACACATCTGCTACCTAAAACTCAAAAGAACAAAGAACAACTAATAATACTCATTAATAGATGCTACTTAGTTGTCCTTGTTTTTAGTCCCCTGCTCTTTCAAGAAACTGTTTAGCCTTAGAAAAAAAAAATTAAGCCTTTATTTCTTTCGGGTTTTGGTCTTTTTTTTTTTTATGAGATTGATTGAAAACTAAAAAAGCACAGAATAATCTACTGGCCTTGCTTTTTTACATTGTATATTATCATAGACTTTAGCAAATGGATTCTTATTGAAATCATTTGTGCCAGGAAACAATGTCATGGTTTGATGTGTTTGTTTTGCATTTTTTTTCTTCAGCTGATGAATGAAGCAGTACATGGAGGATTACAAATGAACTCACTAACCTCCCAGTACCGGAGGGAAGGATCAGGGTCAGCATTTATTCGTGGAACCGTCATGCGGAAGGTACTGAGATTATTATTATTATTAGTATAATTAGTAGTAGTAGTAGTATTGAGTATATCTGTTTGACAAAGTGGTTGTTAAGGATTTTGCTGGTTCTTGACATTTTGCTTTTCTGTGAAGTTTCAAAAGTATTAACCAGTTAATGCTTGATTTTTCCAGTCAATGGGAGCAATATCAAATAGTGGAATGAAACATCTCCAGAGGCAATCCAGACATGGGGTAAAGCAAAATGAGTCCTTTTGATGTTAAATTTTCCAGAACTATTTTATAATTTCCACTCACCAGCCACTTTGTTAGTTACACCTTGCTAGTACCCTTTTGTCGTCAGAATGGGATGTATTCAACAAGGTGCTAGAAATATATCTCAGAAATGTTGGTTCCTATTGATATGATAGTGTTTAACAAATTTTGCAGAAGTGCAAATCTCCAATTCCACCACATCCCATAGATGCTCTGTTGGATTGATATCTGGAGACTGTGAATTAAAATATGCCATTTGAGTGTAGCGAAGTCATTGTTATGTTCAAGAAACCAGTTTTGGTGTTGCACATTATTGTACTGGAAGGAGCCATCAGAAGACCATTGGTTTCAGGTTTCCCTGTTTCCATTAAGAAATGCACTTCTGCCTACCCTGGTAGGATCGAGTAGTTTTTACTGTTGCCATCCTAGCAACTCAAAGCAGTTCACCCGTCTCCCCATCACCCCTCTGCCAGTAACACTGAGTTGATGGAATGTGGTTGGCTAATTAGAAATGTGCATTAATGAGCAGTTGAACAGTTATTCCTAATGAAGTGGCTGTTGCGTGCAATTCCTACTATGGAACAACGTTTGTTGTTAACAGGTATTGTCGATGTAACAACAGCCTCATATTAGAGGATAGATAATAAAGATGAATATTGGCATTATTACAGAATTGGAGATGATTATATACACATAACCCTGCTGCCAAATACTCATTAAAACACTTAATAACTGATAAAAAATCCTTAATTCAAGTCAAAGACGGGAACACAGTTTTGTCGGGACAGAGAGCAGCCACTGTGTGTGCATATTATTATGCAAGTTGTATGCAAGTAGCATAATATATGCAAGTAGCATAATATATGCTACTTGGTTTAATTTGTGTAATGTGTTCTTCTTTAGTCTCTTGCTCTTTTATTTTTAAAAGGTTTTAAACACAGAAAAGTACAGCATCAACTGACAGCCTTGCTCTAACATTTTTCAGTATGATAGGCTTGGATGACAAGCCTAATCATAATTAAAATGATTTCAACCATGAAATGCTGTCATGCTTTGACATTTGTTTGTTTGTTTGGTTTCTTTTCAGCTGACAGATGAAGCCGTACGTGGAGCATCACAAACCGGGTCAATAATCTCAGATTTTCAAAGGGAAAGCTCAATGGCACAAGGTTTTACTCGTGGAAGCTTTATGCGCATGGTACAGAGATTTTTCTTAAAGAACTTGTACTTACTCTTGTTATCATTAAGTACATGTGTCATATTTAAATAGTTAAGAATTTGTTAAGAATTTTGCTCAGTAATGACATTTTGCTCATTCAATTCTGTCAAGTTTGAAAGACTTAACTATTTAAATGCTGGATTTTTTCAGTCACTCGGAGGATCATCAAACAAAGGAATGGCACATCTGCAGGTTCAATCTAAGCATGGGGTAAAGCAAAATTTTCTACAGTTTTGTCATTTATGGTCAACTACAAAGTCTTATGTCTTACCTTAATTCCTATTTAAATTCTAATATAATTCATACAACTTCCTGTTTCTACTTTTTAAGATTTATATGGGACTAGACCACCGTAAACAGCTACTAAATGAGGTAATACCAAAAAGGATAAATTCTCTCCAGGAACAAGGAAAGGAACTGGGCGATTATGTGCCTCATGTATATAATGAGGAGGGAGACACAGAGCATAACTTTGAGCTTGATGCAATCTCCATTGCTGATGTTTCCTTTGACCCTGAAATGGATCTGTGTGACAAGTTCACTACTCTGGCCTCAATCTGCATGCCTACTGATGTCACCACAATACAGAAAATCCAAACAGCAACTCTTGTCCAAGAGGAAAGCCATGAACTAAACTGGCAGAAACTCACATTAAATGAGGTTTACATTTCACAATAAAGTCACTAGACCTCAAGTATAAGGTACAATATGAAAAGTCATAAATATTTATTCAGTTGTCTGGGAGCATGGTATGGTAAGATGCAGTGTCATGTCATAGTGTTTACAATAAAGACTGGGTAATGCAAAAACTAATGCAGAGGGGTGAATATGGTATTTATCAAATCTGATTATTTGCACTCTGGGAAACATAAGATCAATTGTACTAAGTGGGTAATGCTTTCTACTTTCGTTTGGGTTATCTTGAGCTTCTGTTCTCAAAAGTGTTTTTAAGGTCACTTTTT